CTCCGCGTACTAAAGTTGTACTACAAAGTCGCCAGTTCTCATCTTCCAGCTTCCCAGATACTCCGCGTACTAAAGTTGTACTACAAAGTCGCACTCGCACTCTCGCCTGCATTTCGCGCACTCGGCACGCACGATCTCCGCAGAGGGTTGCACTTTCGGTTGACGCTGTTCGTCCCGCCCTAAGAGAGAATTTATAAAGTGGGGAAATGTTTTTTCATTAGGACATCTCCCGTGCTAGTTTTCCATACTCACACTTGCCTACTCACTGCATGCTTGCATACTCATTGCCTACTCACTGCATGCTTGCATACTCATTGCATGCTTGCAACTCATTACTTGCATACTTACACTTGCATACTTCCACTTGCATACTTTGACACTTGCATTGCATGCTTTGCACTTCACTGCTTTCGCTCTTCCACTGACACAGGGCTACGTCTAGCGTTCATGTTGTCCTGCAAGTGTGGTGAAAGTGTCAATGTCTAAGTGTAAGTGTCGAAGTGTCAGTGTTCAAAGGATTTTCCGGAAGAACCCTTCGCAATGCTTTCGGGAAAAATCTTCAAGACTTGCAAGGATGTAACTCGTTATGCAAAACCTTTTCACAACGTCTGCCAAGGAGCCCCGGTCCACTGGCCGTTGAAGTCGTAGATGTCGATCTTAGCTTTAGAAGGTGCGGATAGGTGTGTGAAACTTTCAGTCTTTTTGCATTAGCATTGCACAGATCGCTGTACCGAGCTTAGAAACGGTCGACCGCAGGTGACGTCACTCGAGTATGCAAAACAGCTTTGCATTGCTTCGCTTTTGCTTGTGCCGCTTTATTGGAAACCCTGTTCACTGGGGTGGTTGCTTTCGCATTTTGCTATTTGGTCCTAGCGTTTTCGATTGGTTAAACATTGGTAGCGGAGCCCGAGGGGTTAAATCCGCGGTAGTTGGAGATTCTTGGTTGGTGATACCCTTTTCCTTTTTGGGGGCATAGTTCGCTTTAGGCTGCCTGCTTGCTTTAGCCGGACGGCATGGCGACCTCAGAATCTCCCCAGAGGTTTGACCCTGCGGAACTTCAGACAGATCCATTGACTCAGCACGATCCATGGGCCGGGGGACCGCGAGGAACCCCGCAGAGCTATGGACCTCAGCGCATTGTGAGAGGAACTGCTCATGATTTTGTTGGACAAGGGCAGGGAGTGACCAGTCCGGAGGGGATGACTGGCCCAACCTTGCCGGTTCTTTCAGATGCAGTTCATGCCAGCTGTGTGCCTCAGACCATTCCCTTTTCGCAAGTGAGCAATAGCTCTTGGCAGTGTGTTTCGGGCGAACCGTGGAACGCACCGTCGGGAACCACTGTGCCGAAGAGCGGGTGTGGTGAGCATATGGCTTCTTTCCCGATTACCTCCGGACCGTTCGCGTTGACTCCTTCCGGTACATCACCTCATGGGACCATGCACGGGTGCGATGGTATGTCTTTTGGGGCTCATGGACCACCAGGGCTATCACATGGAGGGTTCTCTGGTTGTCCACTTTCAGCTCCATTTGGTCCCGGCATACCTCACCACCATCCTCCTATGCCCCATGGATGTTCATGTGGATGCCCAGGTTTTCCTCCTCCTGTTTATGGTTGCTATCCCCCGGATTTTGGATGGGCACCATGGATGTGGAATGGAATGCCACGAATGACCATGCCTATGTCGTCTCCACCACCCGGGTTCAGTCCGTTCGCATCGCCACCCCCGGCTGCAGGACTTGAAGGAAAGTCCAAAGCGAAGCCTGAAGGGAAGCCAGAAGATGGAAAGAAAAAGAAGAAAGCCGAAGAGTCATCAGGCGAGACTCGCGTGGGACGCGGTGTGCCGGGTTCCGGTGGTGGTGGTGGCTCGACACCCCCATCTTCGATGGACTCTAGTTTGACGGACGATGACTCGTCTGCAGACACGTCAGCGATTAGAAGCATGTTGAAGAGAAAGGTCCAACATCAGTTGGAGCGACCCAAGAGCAGCTTGGGTTCCGTGAAGATTGAAGAGTTCTCAGGTGAAAGGTTCAAGTATGTGAAATGGAAGAAGGCTGTAGAGGCCCAGCAGCAGTTGTATAGGTTGGAGGAGGAGGAATTGGCGATGTTGGTGTACTTGAGCACCAAGCGAGAGGCAAGAGATTGCCTGGACCAGGCCCCGATCTCAGAGTTCACACGGCCTGGTGGCTTGCGACTCGTTTGGAGGCTTCTCGACGAGGCTTTTGGTGAGTCGGAGGAGGAGCTTTTCGAGAGAGCCGAGAAAGAGTATGCTTCCTACCGTCGACTTCCTGGCCAGCCGGTGGCAGCCTACATCGGACAGATGAAAAGGCTCAAGGCTCAGTATCAACGTGTGGGCCCAGAGACGCAGATTTCTACAAGAGCATGGGCCCAACGTTTGCTGAACCGTTGTTCGTTGTCACGGAGGGAGAGGCTTGATGTTTTCTTCTCGGCTGGCGGCCAGTACGATCCAGTCGGCATAGAGCGTGCTTTGAGACATCGGTGTGCCAATACTCATGAAGATGAACGCCGCCTCCCGACTCCAAGCAGGAGTGCAAGACCATTTCGTCCCAGGCCAAGTGAGGACAAGAAGAAGATTGGGTTGAAGCGACCTTTCAAGAGGTCATTTGTGGCTGACTGCGAGGACCCACACGGAGAAGGTGAAGATGATGAGGACCTGGAGGCGGAGGAAATGTTGAATGAAGTGCTCATTGAAGACCAAGCCAATGAAGACCCTGAAGAACTCCCACCGATTGAGGAAGGCTTGGATGAAGGCCTGGACGAAGATGATCCAGAAGAAATGGAGGAGCAGATCATGGAGGCTTATGCAGCGGGCTGGAAGGCCAAGACAAAGATGAATGAGAAGCGGAAGGGGCGAGGATGGTCGCAAGGGAGCAACCGTTCAAGTCCCGGCATTCCGCCGTCGGTGGCTCAGAAGAAGCAAGCTTCCCATTGTGCCAGCTGCGGTCAAAAGGGGCATTGGCGTGGAGACCCACAGTGTCCAAATGTTGTGAGTGGCAAAGACAGGCCTCACCAGAAGAAGACCGTCACTTCCAATCCTCCGTCAGGTGGAAACGCCATCCACTTCACCTATGCAGTGACCACTGTGAAGAAGAAGACAAGGACTGAAGAAGTGGCACGCCAGACCAGTGGTCCAGTCGGATGTGGATCTTGCCCGCAGTGCCGTTGGCCTTCACCAATGGCGGCACGATTTTGTTCCCAGTGCGGGTACAAGTTCAGCCATGATGAACGAATGCCAGAAGGGAAGCGAGGATGGACAGTGGTGAGCCATGAGGATGAGGAGGACGAACAAGTCCCAAGCTCAGAGTCCAGTCGGCATGAAGAGAAGCCGAAGATGTATCACCTCCGAAAGGGGCTCCTGAAGGAGGCAGCAGGTTATGAAGCCGTCAAGAAGACCAAAGAGGTCAAGGCTAGTCCGCAAGAAGTTATGGCCGCTCTTCCAAAGATGACTAGAGATGAGAAGAAGGAAATCCAGAAGATTTTGCAGAGAGAGGAGCGGGAGCAGGCCTATGAGAGCCTGCGAAGGAGTCATTTGCTGCCTGAGTATGAGTCCAGTGAAGATGAGCATGATCCAACGGCCTCAGCTTCAGGAGGCTACCAGACGCCCATAGTGCCGAAGATGGGGACACCGAAGAAGGAGCTGCAGCATGGCAACTACATGGAAGAAGTCAGAAATAAGACCATGCCGAAGGCAGTCAAGGACAAGAAGTTGGCCCAGTTCCGACTGGAACTGTACGAGAAGCAGATGACCAGGCATGGAGTCAAGCCGTCTTCATGTGCACCCACTCCCACTGAGGCCCAAGTTCGCTGCAAGCATCCCTTTGAAAGATTGAGGTGGTCTTCAAACGGTGACGGGCACTATGCCACGTGCAAGGAGTGCGGTATGAAACATGTGATCTACTTCTCCGAACGCCACGGAGCCTGGATGGTGCATCATCCCATCGCACCAGAACCTGAACCGGCAAGCGATGTGTTCCTGACTCTGACGCCGGGAATGGCTATCATGGACTCCGGGTGTCGTACGGCGGTAGCCGGAAGGCAGTGGCATGAGAGTTTTCAGCAACAGCTGCGTTCCTTGGGTTTGACATGGTTGGAAGAACCCGAAGAAGAAAGGTTTCAGTTTGGCTCCGGAGGACCAGAAGAAAGCACGAAAGCCTTCATCTACCCAGTGGGACTGCATGGCAAGCATGATCTGATTCGAATGTCTTGCGTTGGAGGTGGAGCTGCCAATTGTCCAGGGCTGGTGGGGCCTTCAGAAATGGCCCGTTGGGGCATTGTGATGGATTTTGCGACCAAGAGATTGCAAATCAAAGGAAGCTGGAAGCCAATGATCTTGAATGAAACACGACATCCAGCTATTTGCTTGCTTGACTTTGGAGAAACAACTTCCTTTTGGGATGCAACAGAAGTCCAAGACACCTGCAAGCTACTCCAGCGAGCGCCTCACTCCTGGGCATTCAATGCAGAAGACATCAGCGAGGCAAGCAGCGAAGAGGATGATGAAGAACCTAGGTCTGAGGAATCTAAAGATGAAACAGAGGCAGAAGAACAGAAGGAAAATGGAAGATTGGTTCGAGCCTTGACAAGGTTGGAAGAAGACCTGAAGTACATGCCTCTGCAAAGGCGCCAAGAAGACGATGATTCGCCAGAGGGCAGTGAATGGGAGATGATTGAGGAACCCCAAAGTGAGCGAGAGTCAGAGACCTCTCATGAATTTGGTGTGATGATCTATGACGAAGAATCTGAAGAAGAAAGTGAAGATGAAGACGTCAAGTCGGTTTTTGTGGAGAAAGGGGTTGTCCGTCATTTGAGCAAGCATCAAAGAAGCCAGATGCGCCACAATGTGCGTGAGCTCAAGGAGATCCAAGGACTTAAGGAGAAGGACCGGCAACAGAAGAAAGCCTGTGAAGGTCTCCCAGCACGATGGAGAAGCAAGAAGGGACCCTGGAGGGTCATTGAACTGTTCACTTGGACCTGCATGATTTCCTTGTGTGCAGTCCAGACCGGTCGATGGGAGATGTGGGAACCCATCAGTCTTCCCTCCTGGGACCTACAGCGAGATGATCATCAGGTAGAAGCGCACCACTACCTTGCAAGGGCAGATCCAGATTTGCTGGTGATTGCCTGGCCATGTACTGAATGGTCAATACTCAATGGATATGGTCGCAAGGATGCTGAAGCTTGGAGACGATTAGGTGTGAGAAGACAAAGAGCTCGAAAACTTTTGAAGTTTGTGCGGAAGGCGGCAAGAGACCAAAGGAAGAGGGGTGGCGCCCTACTGGGAGAAAACCCTGCCACATCTCGGGCATGGCAGGAGCCTACAATTGTTGAGGCCTTCGAAGGGATGCCTGAAGTAGTCACAGACATGTGTTGCTATGGTCTGAAGAAGCCGCATGAGCACACTCCAGAGGGTCAGCCTTTGTTTTTGAGGAAGAGAACCCGTTTGCGAGGAACTGAAGAGATTCTCGATCGATGTGGTGCCAAGTGCCAAGGATGGCACCAACACACACCTGTGCTAGGAGGTGTGAAGATTGATGGACGATGGAAACCTCTCTCCGATTTTGCCGGAGGATACACCAAGAAATTTGCAGAGAAGGTCATCCAAGGAGCAGAAGAGTACCTACAAAGAGGTAGAAAGCAAGAAGTTTACGTGCAGGAAGAAGACATTCCAGAAGAACGTTTTGAAGTACAAGAAGATGAAATGCTGGAAGATCAAGAGCTTGAAGCACAAACGAAGGAAGAAGAGATGAAGCTAAGGAAAAATGACCAACTGCACATGTTGCACCGGCGTCTTGGCCACCCTTCAAATGAGGTCCTCTCAAGAATGTTGAGATTGGCAGGCGCAGACAAGTGGTTGGTCGATGAAGCTGCCATGTTGAAGTGTGACACCTGTGGCTCGGCACCAATTCCACGAAGACCAATGAGCCAAAGAAGTGATTTGAGGCCAACCGTATTCAATGATACGGTGGCAATCGACCTCAAGTTCGTGAAGGATTGCAAGGACCAAAAGTACGTGGCCTTGAGTATGATTGACCTAGCCACAAACTATCACCAAGCCACACTGCTGAGAAGTCGCAACCCTCCTCACGTAGCAAGAAAATTTTTGGTGAAATGGATTGGGATGTTCGGCGTTCCCAATCAACTCACTTTAGACCAAGGAGGCGAATGGGAAGCAGAGTTCATTCTTCTGCTTGAACAGCATGCCATTGGAACCAAGTTCACTGGTTCCCATGCAGCCTGGCAGCTGGGACACGCTGAGCGCCACGGTGCTCTTTTGGGCATCGCATGGGGAGCTTTGATCTTCGAGCATGAGGTGACTGACCGCGAAGGGATGAAGATGACTCTAGCTTGTGCGGTTCAGGCCAAGAACCAGGTCGTCACTCGTAGAGGCTATTGTGCCAATACCCTTGTTTTTGGGGGGCAAAACCTGTTGCCTGACCTACTTGACGACGATCCTGTGTCAGCCACGACACTCGGTCAGGCACTTAGCACAGAGACAGAGGTGGCACGACAGGCTGAGATGAGAGCACTAGCAAAACGTTCACTCCTTCACCAGGAAGCTCAAGACAAGCTCAAACGAGCTTTGAGTCGGAAACCAGGAGGCCAGATTCGAGAGTTTTTGCCCGGCGAGAAGGTTTTCTTCTGGGTGCCTCGCGTGAGAAAAGGGAGATATCGGCATGATCCTGGCGAATGGCGAGGACCAGCGATGATCATCGTGAAGGAGTCGCATGAGAAATATTTCGTCTCATGGCGAGGCAGGTGCCTGTTGTTAGCAGCCGCAAATTTGAGGGGCTCAACGATTGAAGAAAATTCCGAGGTCAATATGGAAGAGCTCCGGGAGTTGGAAGACAAATGGCAAGAAGGGAGCCAGACTTTTGAGGACATGAGCGAAGTGTGCAAAGAGCTTCCTGAAAGAGAAGAGGATAAGAGTTGGGAAGCGCAAGAAGGACTTCTCCGTTTCGGTAAGAAGAATGGCCGGAGCAAGAGAGAGGCAGTCCAGATGATGAAGGGACTGAAGAGTGTAAAAAAGCTGGTGTTGAGCAAGATTGGAAAGACCCGTAGAAGCAAACCAATCCCAAGAAGAAGACACCAGGTGAAGAAGAGAGAAGTGCCACAGGAGAAAGTCATTTCAGAGATTGATGATGAGGAGTACACTCCCACCATCGCGCCGGCGCCAGAAGCTGAGGAAGACGATGAACCCTTTTGGAGGGAAGTGGCCGCACAAGAAGAAGCTTACAAGAAGGAAGATGAAGAAAGAATGAGAGAGAACGAAGTAAGAAGGAGGAAGCTCTTGGATGATGTTCCCCTGTGTTTGAAGCGGAAGAGCCCAGAGGAACCAATGCAGGAACGAGAGCTAAAGGTGCCTAGAAACCTCTTCCAACAGATGGAGGTGATGGTCTCAGAACAGGAGATGACAGGTCGTCTAAAGAAGAAGGTGGCGCCCTTCAAAGACCAAAAGTCAGCCCAGAATCAATGGTTGCCTCGAAGTGAGGTTCGGCAACTGGGACGGCTTCTCGACCTGCCGGTAAGTGCAGCAAGACTTCATCGTGCTCCAAGGAAACAGCTGCAAAAGGTTCCAAGGGGGAAGAAAAGAAGACGCATCACTATGATGTTACTTGAAGAGCCTGGACAGGCAATGTTGGTAGATGAATCAGTTCAGGACATGCAACGGCCTCGAAAGCGCTGTTCTGCACCATGGAGGGGCATGACAGTTTTTGTGAAACCAGAAGATGACATGAAGGCCGTAGAAGAGAAGCCAGCAGAGAGTGAAATGAATAGAGCCTATGTGCAGATTGAAGAAGATGAAGTGTATGAGGTTTCGCTCGGGAGCAAAGAAGATGTGAAGCTCTGGGCGGAGTTGGTAGAGAAAGAAAGAGACTGGCAAGTCTACAAGGAAGTGCTTCTTTTGAAGTTGAAAGCTTCCGGAAAGGAGTTGGACCCAAGATGGTTCAACGAAGAGGAAGCGAAGAAATTTCAGGACTCCGATTTGGTTGAATGGGAAGCATGGTTGAAGAATGGGGTGATCAAGAGATTAACCCCAGAAGAGTCAGCTGCGGTTCCGAGATCTCAGGTTTTTCGGGTGCCATTAAGGGTCGTTCGAGTAAATAAATCAAAGGATCCTAAGATTCTCCAGGCCAAGAGTCGGATTGTGATTCCGGGTCACACTGACCCAGCCATTGGGGAGTATCGCACCGATAGCCCCACGACCACTCCCACGGCTGTGAGACTGATGAAAAGTCTCTGTGTGACCTTGCACTGGAGTTGTTGGGTGTTCGATGCGGCAACAGCATTCTTAAGTGGCCGCCATACTGACCGCCTGGTGTACGTTCGTGCACCTCCCGAGGGTTTGCCAGCCACGGCCACTTCCGAGGCCGTTCGTCCGCTTGAGTTGATGCGTGTGGTCAAGTCAGCCTACGGGTTGGCAGAGGCTCCAAGACTATGGTATCTTCGCGCCTTTTGTCGGAGCACATTCATAGCCAAGGACAGTGACGGCGTTTTTGCCTTGTGTGGTCTACATGTAGACGATGGTTTCCTTACCGGTGACCCCAGAAACCCGAAGTTTGAGGCATTGAGAAAAGGGATTGATAAGGTCTTCAACATCAAGGCTTGGGAGGCTGTGGATGAGAAAGGTGTGAGCTATCTGGGTATGAAGGTGAAGTACGATGTCAAAAAGAATGTCATCATTGATGATATGTCGGAATACGTCTTGAAAATTGAGCCCATGACGGTTCCACCAGATTCCAACCATCGTTTGGTTGGAAAAGAACTCACCGCCTTCCGACAGTTGATCATGAAGATGAGATGGCCTGCTCAACATGTGTTTCCTGAATACATGTTCAGGATTTCCTTTTTGGCCCAACGTGTCTCTACTGCAGTGGCATCAGATGCCAAGGAAGCCAACCTTTTGTTGAAGGAGATGCATGATGCAGCACGGGCAGGTGAAGCACAGTTGACCTTTCGTGAACTGTCAGGTGAACCAGTTTTTGTCACCTACTTCGACGCAGCTTTAGGCAAGAAAGATGGAACTGCACAATCAGGAGAACTTCATCTCCTGACAGATGGACAAGTTTTGAGCACCAGTCGCAATTCGAATGTTTTGGAATTCCATTCCAACAAGATTGCTCGTGTTGTTCGCAGTAGCATGGCCGCCGAGAGTTGTGCTTTGACCAGGGGAGCCGACCACCAATTGTTTAACAGACTCTTGTATGAGGCTCTCAGGTTCGGAACGATCGAGGTCAGTGCACAATGGCGTGAACGCCTGCGAGTACCAGGAATTCTGGTGACCGATGCTAAGGCACTGTACGATCACTGTGGTGCCACCGGCCATCTGGCTCAGGAAAGGCAAACAGCCATTGATCTCTTGATGTGTAAGCAGATGATTGAACAGAAGCTGTTGGTTTTGAGGTGGGTGCCGACATTTAAACAACTGGCAGACAGTCTCACGAAAAACATGAAGGATGTTCTTTTGAAAGCGCTGAAGCGAGACGGTCGGATTTGTCTGATTTCAACGGAGGCGGATCTTAAGGAAGAAGAACGCCGTTCGGCAATTCGAAAGGGGCAGCGTGAACGAAGAGCTGCCCGAGCCCGATCTGTGCAACAACTTCCTTTTGGGATGTGAAACTTTCAGTCTTTTTGCATTAGCATTGCACAGATCGCTGTACCGAGCTTAGAAACGGTCGACCGCAGGTGACGTCACTCGAGTATGCAAAACAGCTTTGCATTGCTTCGCTTTTGCTTGTGCCGCTTTATTGGAAACCCTGTTCACTGGGGTGGTTGCTTTCGCATTTTGCTATTTGGTCCTAGCGTTTTCGATTGGTTAAACAAGGTGCAGCCCCTTCTTGTTTACACTTCATGAATCGGATCCAACAAAAATCACCCCCTGGATTCATGAGTTCATTTTGGGAGTCCAAGCTTTTCAGGTGCCAAGAAGCTTTCCGGGAATTGGCCAGCAAAAAGATGCAGTCGGTAGCGATCACGGCCCGCAATGCTTCCACCTTCTCCCCCACCATGTCCTTCCAAAGACAACTGCTCGTCATCTCGTGAACATCCTGAGCTCTCCCTCAGGTCCCAACAGTTGACATAATGGACGGATGATTCAATTTGAATGTCAGCAAACATGTTTTGAGATGTTTTATGAGTACCTTGGAAGGTGGCTCACTGGAGTGCGACCTTTTGTTGGAAATCATGGATGCCTGGTCGGGACAACGTCAGCAGCCCTATGGCTGTCGCCCAGAAACCACTTGAATATTCCTATATAGAAGTATGAACAACGCCCACTACCTGATGTTTCTCTTTTTGCGCCATACGCATATCTCTGGCGAACGGGTGGCGCAAAAGCGGCAGGAGGCTCCATCATAGGAAAGCACTGCTGCAGCTTCTAGTTGGGGGGTCGGCACCACTAAAGACCACTGCCTTGGCGAGTTACGACAGGGAAATCCTCCGTATGAAGATTTCGTTGGAGCAACATTGAAAGCCACTGCTCAAGAGCGAATGGAAGCATAGCGTCGCATGATGTCAGACCATGTTTCAACAAGCAAGCCAAGCAAAAAAAAAAGCACTCAAGAGAGAAAATAACCAAGCGCACTAAATATAAACATATATAAACAAGAAGAACGGGCAAAAACACATGCAAAGAGGAAGACATGAACTTCTGCTCCCATGGACTGAAGCCATTTCCAGGCACCATGCTGACTCACCGCTGAGACGGCCAGAGTCGGGCACACAAAATGACCCGGATTTCTCTCGCACTAAGACACCCAATCCCTGTCACCTCACGTCTTTGCACGCCAAACCGCCAACCCTGCTGAGCACGCCAAGTTCACAAAAATCCGCCCTGCTGAGCACGCCAAGCTGCAATTCCAAATCCCAGGCCGCTGCGCTTGTCTCGAAGCGGAGGCCCTCACGAAGCGTTGGCTTTCCGAGTCTCAAATGGTTGATGGCCAAGGCCAAGCGTCCATAGAGCTTCCGCCATGCAGAACCTCCTGTGAAGCGCAGCTCCAGCAGTTCTCCACCGAAGCACTGGAGGCTCCGATGCTGCCAGCAGGGATGAGCTTCAGCCACCTCTGCCGTAGAAGTGCAGGCGCAACACCACTGTGGCCTCAACAATCGGTGACCCCTGTCTTTGTTGGTGCATGATCTAGTTGGCGTCAGATGTCTCTTGAAGTAGATCGATCTACTTCGTCTAGGCCTAGAAGCTATTTGGCGTCCTGAGCGGCCGACAGGACAGTGTTGGGCACCAACCAAAGGATGATGGAATGCCTGACTCACCGAGTTGGAAAAACAGACTCACCCTGACTCGGTCAGCCAAACATGATCTGACTTGCTGAGAACCAAACACACAGCTTGGTATGCCATACGGCTGATCCATGGCATCAAGTCATCTGTCTGGCTGTTCGTCCTATTCTAGTTCAACGGCCGAACACTGAAAAGACTCGAGTTGGCGTAAAAACTGATACAGTAAGTAACAGGCTCGATTGTAAAAAGGAGCTCAGCATTCAGGCAAGAGGGGCATCAGGAGAAACGTGGATGATCATACGAGTGATTGGTGAAGTCTCTTCAACGGAGCGCAAATTATTGTCCTCTGTTTACTCTCCACTTGTGTGTATATCCGTGTCTCTCTCTCTCTCGCATGCAGGAGAAAGATGCGATATTATATATATATAGGACTGGCTGAGTTTGACTTGCATGCTGTTGAAGCTTGAGCCAAATGACTTCAGGCCCAGGTTGGGTCGAGCCCACATGCCAACTGCTCCAAGATTCAGTGCGGAGCCCGTGCTCTGAAAACGCAATGAAAGTACGCAATAGCACGCGAGATGTAAACGTTCACCGCACAAATGACACAAACAAAACCGCTGAAGAGCGAAGCGTTTAATCCCAAGCCTTCGACCTCAATGCCTTTCAAAATGTCGGGGATGTCCTTGGCCAACTCCCGCAAAAACTTGAACTCCTGCATGGGACCGTCGACCAACCTGTCGAGGTGATGGCACCTCTGTTGGGATGACCTTTGATTTGTGCAATCGAAAGAACACCTAAGTCATGATGCAAAAGCTCAATGGATGCAAGATTGCATTCCAATCGCTGACGGTTCCATAACTCCAACCCCCGGTCCGTGGTCACACCGATTCCAACGAAGATGATGGATAAAGGGATGTCCAAGCAATTCCTCCACAGTCAGGATCATAGAAAAGGGCTGGTGGATAAGCAATACTATGCAACACTATCAGTTGTAAGCATCTGTGACTCCAAGTCCCAAACAAATGCTCCTCTCTGGGGACAGGAGCATATTCTTGATATGGCACTGCTCGACAAAACTGATGAAAAAAGGTGGATCCGCAAACAAATGAACAACGCCTTTCCACCAAAGCCAACTATTTCGCTACATGTTGGGCTTCCGTTCAGCTTCAACATGTCCTAAATGGGTAGTGAAAACAGCGCGGCAATGATCCGGCCCACTTCGCCTCACTTGTCGCACCACTTCTTCTTGATCCTGAAGCAAGCAGAAATGGACTCACCCGAATAACTCCAGCATCGGTGCCATATGTGAGCGAACAGCCTTTACGGCACTTCATTCCCAAATGGAGGCCATGAACATGATCTAAATATATGATAATATATGGACTGACATTCTGATACTGCGCAATCCCCGAAGCAAAACAAGAGTCTTCATTTGTCATCCATACATCTCTTTATGCTACAAGACTCTTTTCTAGCACGTGAAGCTAGCTTTCTGATCTGCTCTTGCAGATCTTGCAAGATGCCAAGGGATGCCAAGGGCATCGGTCACACATCCCTTTCTCACCTCCCAGAGCCAGTTTCAACTCATTGAAGGCATATGTTTTTGCGGCAAGCTTTGTACCTAAGAGCGGTGGCCCCAATAGGAATGGTCTTCAACCTGAGAGCGGCAAGCTTTGTACCTCAACTCTCTTGTGGCTCCATTTCGAGCCCATTCTCGACTAACGGGACGTTGTGTGCAGTGTCATCCGGCATCACATTCCTGGCACAAAGGCTCGGGGTTCTAGTTGCAAACAAAGGCTACAACAACTCCCTCGAAGAGACAAACCAACGCAGCGTGCCCTCCTTGCCACAGCCTGGTGACTTGACTCGCCGCAGTGATGCTTCTCCTCACTGTGATGCAAGGTGTCGAGCCGAAGAATCTCTGCCTGAGCGTGGCGCACCAGGCTTGTTGCAACAACTCATTCACTGAAGATTGACCGAACTGTGACAACATACTTCTCTGGGCAGGTGGATCTCCATACTAGCGGCTACTATATAGCGTCTTAGATGGACATAAAAATGGCGGCAATGTGTGAGTTCCACGCTTGAAAAGCACCTTCTACTTTCATGCACTCAACGAGTTTACAAGGCCGCAGGTAGCTCAACCATCTACCAAAAGGCTAGTCCCCTTTAGGATCCTTTAGGTAGTTTAGGTATCTTGACTACGCAGGTGTTCTAAAGCGGGCAGTGTTTCCTGAGTTTGCAGCATCCTACAGCTAAGGCCCGGACCGCGCAGGGGTGTTGTGTCAAGAAGATAACTTTCAGCAGCACGCCGAGAACGGTGAAATACATCCTGAGTTCGCGTCTGTCCCAGTGAACCACATGAGCGAACTAACACCGTTCCTCAAATATCATGACTAACACCGTGGCTGGCTCCGGATTCTCATACTGTCCCAGCCTTTCGAGGAAATGCCCTATTTCTGGAGGATGCTTCAAGATTCACGAATTGTAGGGACCTCTGCGTTTGTGCATCGATAACACGTTCCGACGTGTTCCGACCATGAATCACCCCTTCATGTGTGCCCGTAGCCGCCCAGCGTCTCCACACTCGCAGCCTGACCAATGTTCCGGAAGAGCCGATAGGCAGCTGAGTGGTGCTGTTCCTCGTGCTCAGACTCCTCGTGCGCAGATTTGGTGCTGTTGGTATGAGCGTACCTTCGATAGGCCGCTGATGAAACGAAATGCGTCACAAAATCTGGAGCCAACATGCTTCCCATAAGCTCCTTAAATTGCCCACTTTGCACATAGCAAATCATAGCAGTATAACATAGTATAACGGGGCATCGCTACTAGGAAGCCGTACTACTTGGAGCATCCTTACTAGTAGCAAGAAGCTACTAGGGGCATCGCTAGGAAAACGACCACCCTCTCAGACTCTTCGCTGTCAAGCTACTGTCGCCATCGGACCTCCAATTCGTCGCAAAGGGCGGCATCAAAAGTCGCCTCCTCGGGGACACCGAGATGTCTTACGGATGCAGCAGCCAAGCCGCGCCTGCTTGAGGATGGAGACGTTTGCGGCCACGGAACTCAGTCAAGTTTTCTTAAAAATCTAGGAACCAAATGATGGGTGCGTGAGCTATCCAGTCTGCTAGGAGCCCACAAGTTTGCCCTCACTATTAAGTAGATGCCTACTTAATTAAGTAGTAGGGAGGCAAAGTGGGCTTCACAAAAAGAGAAAAACAAGAACCACCCAAATGTCACCGAGCCAGCATGGACATGGAGAGTGCAATCTTACGTCAAACCATCCAGAATGTCGACTGAGGGTGAGGCCTTAAGTGATGCTCGTTCAAGCGTCCCAGGTAGCAATAATTCACGCGATCGTCTGCCCACAAACAACGAACAGCTTTGTCGCAAATGAGATTGGTGTACTCGCGCTGGTTAAAGACTTCATCCACAGAGGGATAGGTGCAACATCCTGGAAGATCCTTTGTCAAGCGCAGAAGAACTGGCAAGTGGTGGAACCGACGACAATGTTGAACTCTAATCCTTTCTTTTTTCGGAGGGGTGGCACCTGCCTAAAAAACAGGCCTCAAAGTCCTTTCATCGATTATATATACTCTCACCTATATATTCTGGCTAGACTCTTATTGTCAGTTTCCCTAGTCGAGCGATTGCAATGACAGCTCTGAACAGCAGCCGTGGGCAATGCAAGTCTGACGCACTCTATATTTATTCAAAATGCTCCTAGTAGCGTCCTTGCTACTAGTAAGGCCAGGAGCTACTAGTAGCGATGCCCTTTGCTCCTAGAAGCTTCAAAAATGTCCAAGCCGCTGATGCGATTTCACAATCTTCCATGATCCTGAGATACAGAACCATGGTTCCAGCCACATGAACCCTCAGCCCAGAAGAACACGTGACATAATCGAGACCATACTGCCACCATCTGCCCTCAATCCAGCAACTGTCAAGTTTTCCTGAGGCTGCTGTTCTATGTTGTCCTTGTTCGACTCCACCACAAGGGTGCCGCTGGTTGGGGAGGAAGGTCGACGCTTCGCCAAGCTGCTGGAAAATCACAAACATGGTTCCAGCAAGCCTCTGCCACACTCAGGCTTGGCGCTGATGTGTGGTAATCAATGCGCACTACACTCAAAGAAGCGTGTGGCACATTGTAGTTCTGAACTGTCGCCTTTGGCACCTCTAGTTTCAAACGAGCGGCACAAAGGCAAACCACACACTGCACCTGTTCCTGCCGGCTACTCGAGGTATGGCACAAAAGTACTATGTGAGGAATTTAGGACGCTACTAGTAGCTCCTGGCCTTACTAGTAACAAGAAGCTACTAGGGGCTCCTGACATCGCTACGATCGGGGCTCCTGGCCGTACTACCAGAAGCAAGTAGCTACTAGCAACAAGAATCTACGAATGGAACAAAGGGCATCGGTACGAACGGAGCGTTTTTCGTGCCTAAAGCTGGATGGGCTAACAGGAGGCCGCTTCCAGCAGTAGAAGGTGAAGGTCACCAATCCCAACGGCACGAAGAGTCCAATCGACCGAAAGAAAACACTGATCCAAAGGCCTCACGAGATTTCTGCGGGGAGTGAAGGACAAAACAACACACAAATCCTCTGGGTGCAAGCGCATCAAATTTTCAGGTGAGTTGCGAGCTGCTTCCATCCTCAGGAATGGGTCAAGCTGTGAGTCCTAGTGTCCTCCAATCCACTTCCTGCACTTCAGAAGCCCGCCCCCATAGCTATGTCCCACCCATAAACAGCAACATGAACGGTGAACCGTCACCCAACCTTGGACTGCATGTTGACATGATATAGTTTGTTGGGGACTTTTGGGCAACACAACCTCAAGATCCAACAAAGCTCGGGCTGTGAGCGTAGCGGTGCTGCCTGCTCTATGCGCCTTGATGCCATCTACCCTTTCTGCAATTTGGCCCAGGCTTGACTTAGTACATCTTAGTATGTTCCAATGCTCAGCACATGGGACTTCACAGTCCACAGGTTTGATCCCAATCCGGCAAAGTTTCTCAAGGATCCCATTCACATTCCCGATCAAAGCCAGCGACACTGTGACCGACATCAGGATTGAATCATAATCCTCGAGATGTTGCCATGGTACCAAGCAGCCACCCCAGTTCTGCTGAGGAGTTGACACTTGACAGAACAACCGACTGTCAACAGGTTTCTTTTCCACTTTTGCATGTGCAACTAGGGAGCAAACGTATTAAATGTCACACCCAAATCTGGTGTACCCCCATCTGTGCACAACACAGTTGCAGCCGGCAAACACCACGGATCCCTGAAAACACTCGAGTTTTGCAGCCGGTATGTGCGGCTCCTCACTTTTGCAAAAACTCATCCGCTAAGGGGGTTGTATTAAAGTTCATTGCTACTAATATGTGTATATATATGTGTGTGTGTGCACCTTTTAAAACATGTTCTTCAATTACGCGCACTGACACACTCTGACATTGGTTTTCAGTTACACTCAATTTCCCGATGGGAAGAAAGGCGAAGAATCGCAAGGTGGAAAAGTCAGCTGGAACAGTATGGTTGAACATGGTTTCCAATCGCTCTCAAGACGCGGCTGCAAAGCGGTGCAAGGCTGCGGACGGCTGCTGTAAGAAACCTGTTTGGGGGGGGGAATATCATGAAACACCAAGAAACAAAAAAGCGAGAGTGGACAGCTTGTCAACAGTTGAAAAGGAAAGCAGGTACGTGAACCTGGCGTCCCAGGTTCATATCCTCTCCAATCATCAGTAGCTTCGTTGGCCACAGACTGATGAAAGGAGCTGTGGCCCCCTGCCTCGTTGAGTGGTTGTAGTGAAAAACAGTGGAACCCTTTGGTACAGGGGGTGGCACACACAGGTCGCCGTGATCGGCGCTTTTTCTTTTCAAAAACCGGCTGCAAGCTGTTGAGTCGTGTCCTTTTTGGACGTAGAGTTTCACAAGCTCAGTGGCAGCAGCGTCAGCGCTCGAAGGTGGAAAGGTGTATTTGTGGATTGTGTGAAGTCTTGAGTGGGGCCCAGACAGAGCCAAGCGCTGGCTCCCGGCGCTGGTTGCGTCCCTGATTTTCCAGGGTTGTAGAGGTTGAATGTAGGTGATGGTACGTTGTTGTAGGTCAATGTTGAACCCCAGAAGGTGAAAGTCGTCCACTGGCTCAAGTTCCACTGGGTCACCAAAGAAGTTGTGATGGATAAGGGTTTGAATGGCGGGGTGTTGGAGAAGTGTTCGTTGTGGACGATGAATCTGTTGTCAACATATCGGTAGTATGCAAAGTGTAGGTTGGTGTGTTGGAGGAGGTTGTTGTGGATCTGGCGCCAGGAGTGTTCGATGAGAGTGATGGCTATGTTGCAAAGGGCAGGAGAGAGTTGGGATCCAATCCCAGCTCCTCGGACTTGTTTGTAAGTGTTGTTGCATGCCCGGAAAATGCAGGTGTCGAGTGCATAGGCAACAATGGTGGTGATGTCGGAGGTCTGGATGGTGCGTTGTGTGGGGTGTTTTTGGTGATGCCGGCCGATGTGAGAATGGTGGAATGGGTGGCCGGTTGCGTGGACGTCAATGGTGAGGGTGTGTGTGGATTGTTGTGCTTGCCACTGCTGGGGAACCGAGTTGAAGAAGCCAACCAGATCATCGTTGGTGGCATATAGGGAGATGTCCGCTGGGGTTTTGGTGAGGTGGCAGTGGAAATGGCGCCAGAGTTGTGGGATGGAAAGTTGGCCTGGATGTTGTGGATAGAGGTGTTGGAGAATGATGTCCAAGGCACGGCTAGTGATGCGCAGGAGGTTGCCGCTGAGGGAGTGGAAATAGGAGATGATGGCGCGGCCTTTCTGCCAGTGCTTCTTCTCTTTGAGATGGACCACTCCATATGGAATATTGAAGTCCTTGCGGAAGCCCCATTTGTATCGGGTGCGTAGGGTGGAGGGTACAGTGGCTTGGAGGTGGTCTTGGATGTTGGTGGCTGTCAGGTATGGAAGTGGTGCAAAAAGTTCGGGAGATTGCCATGTGTTGAGGGCTCCGGTAAAGTATTGGCGAGGGCAAAAAACACGGAGCTGTTGGAGTTCGTGATCGGCATGGTGAAGTGCGGTGTGTGGGCCGAGATATTCTTGAAGCTGTCTGAGTAAGCGGGCAGTGAATCTGGGATGTTGTTTTAAATGGGTGTTGTGAAGGCGCCATTGGTGCTCGAGGAAAGGTTGCAGATGCTGCGTGAGGGATGGTGGAAGTCCCTGGAGCTTGAGCCATTTTGTATAGGCCGTTTGGAAGGTAAGGAAGTAGCGCGCCTTGCTGGGATAGTATGCGCTGTTCATGTTGGCGTTGAGAAAGATGTTGAGGTGTGGTGGGAGATTGAGTTGGTCGAGTGTGAGAATGTAGTGGTCGTTGGTGGTCGGCGTGTCCGGATCTTGGAGGAGACTGCGGAGGTGGGTGCAGGCGCACGGTAGATCTGCTGGATCTGGTGGCGATTGCAGAGTTTCCTCCCATGTGCGGTTGTGGAGTTGGGATCGAAGGGTTTTGTGGGCTGCTTCACGTAGGCGGTGTGACGGGAGATGGAGAGGAATGGCCAAATGTTTGTGCTGCTGGATGGTGGTACGGAGCCACTGTTGGCAATGCTTTGTGAAGTCTTGGTGCGCCAGGAAAGGCACAGTGAGAGGAATGTTAGGCTTGGGTGGTGTAAGATTGCGGAAAAGGAGGGCTTTGTTGATGATGTGGAGTGCCCTGCTGCGGCCTGGTTCTTCCAGATTGGCGGCCATGCGCCTGATGGCGTAGACTTCGAGCTCTGTGCGACGGCCACTGCGCAGCTGTTTGGCCGCTTCAAAGGAGGCTGCCGTGTGTTTGGTAAGGTCGCGGAGTAGCGTGAGAGCATGATGTTTTGTGGAAGTGTAAAGGTGTGGTTCTCTGAGTGTCGGTTGGCGGAGGCGGAGTCGTCGAAAGAGGCGTTTGTGGGTGGCCAGTCGGGAGTAAAACCCTTGGGCTTTGAGCTTGAGATGGTGTGAGATGAAGGGCCAGTTGAGTGTGGGCATCCAGTTGGCAATGTGGTGATGTTCTTGGATCCAGGCCTGATCATAGGTGTCATGGGATGTGAGCTGGATGGTGGTGTAGTGGTGGATGTTGTTGTGGGCGTGCCAATATCGTAGGGAGAGCTCTGCTGATACGGGGATGTTGTTTTGGAGTTGCTTGAGTTTGGCTCTGCGATTGTGTTCTCTGTGGGGAATGCCAATGGCTGTGGAGCCGATGTAAAAGTGGCCATGTTGGTGGTAACAGCAATGTGGTGTGGTGGGGTTGAAGTAGAGCTTGATGTAGACTGAGTTGTGGGAGAGAAAGTTGTGGTAGTGGTAGGTGTGTGGAAGAATGTGAAGCTGGCGGAAGCGGTTGCGCCACTGTTGGGATCGGTGTGTGGTTGACGGATATGAGAAGAGGAGGGTGAGGTGGATGAGGCCTGTCGTGAAGATGGCCTCTGCTCGTTCAATGTATTGGGTGTAGTGAATCAAAGTTGACAAGGCGCGGTGAAGGTGGAAAAGATGTTGCATGGTGGTATGGCTGGGCTGCTGCTGGCTGAGAAAGCATAGTCAGCAGCCAATGGACGCACCGACGCTGACGAGGTGTTGGAGACTGCGGATGGGGAGTCGGTTAACACGGCCAAGAGGAAGGCCATAGCGAGTGGCAGCTTCCTTTAGTTGTCGCGTGGTGACCTTGCTGGTTTGGAGAAGGCGTAGAATTTCATTGGCCGACTCCTGGACTGCGGGGTCAAAAGTAGTGACCCATTGCTGGATGTCAGTGGTGGTCCAGGTCTCAGGGACGTCATCTTTGAGGGAAGGGTGCGGAGGCTGCAGGACGTCAGCCAGGACAGGTGGTTTGTGTGCTGGCGGTGGGGGGGTTGTTGTGGGTGGATGTGACGCATCTGCGGCGCTGGAGGAGTAACTGGTGCCTTTCGTGGGGGTGAATGGAACGCCCAAGTTGTGGAGCTTCTGTTTTGCGCGGGCAAGCTCATCGGTGGCGGATTTGAGTGCCCGTAGGGCTGTGCCTTCCGCTGGGGCTGGTGAGTGTGATTGGAGTTGTTGGATGAGGAGGTTGATCAAAGGGGCGTGGAAGGCACGTGCCTGCGTTGTCTTGCTGGGGATGTCGTTGCCTTGTGAGGTGTGGAGGGTCTCAGCTATGGCGTCCAGGTCGGCGCTTTTCCCGGATCTCTTGGAGGAGATGCGTGACAAAGACCGATTCGGCCACGCTCCGGGTAGCGATGAAGCCGCAGTACTTCCCGTGGCTCAAAGTGCGGGCGGTATATTCGGCCGTACCGTGATATGCGAGTTGCCAGGGGAAAATGTCAAAGGTAGGAAGACCAGCAATGCCGGCCTTCCGTGACCATTGGGTAGGTTGGATTGTTCGGTGGAGCTGGTGGCCGTGGAGGGTGTTGGAATACCAATGGTGGTCACTCTTGAATGGTGGGTTTGGGAGATGGGACATGGGGTGGTGGTGGAGGTGCTGAAGTGTGGCCAGCGGGGTTCGGTGGCTGCGGGCTGTGTTTGAAAGATGGGCCGGGCGGGGTGACTGGCGCCGTGGTGGGGAGTGGCGGGGGTGGTGGTGGTGGAAACTCTGGCTGCAAAGGTGGAGTCAGCTGGGATGGATTGGGCGGCGGCGATGGTGTGTAAGGTTGTGTGTGGTGCGTGTGGTGAGTGCGAAGAGCGTGGGTGAGAGGACCATAAGTGCCTGTAGGATTGTATGACTGGTGGCTGGTGGAAGGGTTTGTGGTGGCGGCGTCTGTGGAGGTCAGCTGCTGATGTTGTTGCTGCTGCATGAGGTAGTGGTTCCAATAGTATTGCTGCCACTGTGCGTCCATGGTGGAGTGGGGGTTGGAACTCGAGGGATGGCAATCGTGAGCAGTTGCTTGAGCAGGCTAAAATGTTGAGGCCGCAAGAGACATCAGAGATATGTACACGCTGATGTGAAAATGTAGTGAAGCCGCGGCGCAGGACCGCTGTTAAGATCCAGGCTGAATTGAAATCCGAATAGCAGCGTAAAAGAGTGAAACGTACAGTGTGGGCAAAACTTGAAGGATCAAAACTGGAATGCGGATGTCGCAATCGTTTTGCGTGGTGCGTAGTGAAA